CCAGTCTAGGATGGCCTGCTGTCTAGTTGGTTCCTTGATGTATTGATCGAGGAAACTATCCCTCAAACATTCCAGTAAATCTTCCTCCATCACGTTGCTACCACTTTGGTTAGTCCAATCAACAAACAAATTGAAATCACCAATAATAACTGATATATCCTCACTGAACACATCTCTAATTTCCTGTTTTCCACCCCCAAACTCTCAACTACTGTTTGGTGGTCTGTACACAACTCCCACTAACTTATTTTTCCCTTAGATGTTCCGCAGCTCCACATTGTCCAGGCTAATGTCCTTCCTTACTATTGTGTTTATCTCCTCTTTAACCGACAATGCTACCCACTTCCCTTTCCTTTCTATCTTTCCTCAAAATTGAATACCCATAGATGCTGAGTTCCTATCTTTGGTCACCCTGGAGCCAGGTCTCTATAACTGTCTGTGTAGTTAATTCATCCACCTTATTACAAATGCTCCTCACATTGAGGCACAGAGCCCTCAGGCTTTTTTTTGACAGTTATTGCCCTTTTAGAATTATGATGGAATGTGACCCTTTTTGATTTTTGTCTTTGGTTTCTCTGCCTACCATTTCCACTTTTTCCCTTACTGCCTTTTGTTTCTGTCCCCACTTTACTTCCCTTGACTTCCTGCATTGGTTCCCATCCCTCTGCCATGTTAGTTTAAACCTTCCAACAGCAGTAGCAAACACTGCCCCATCCCCTCTCACCCCAGGACATTGGTTCCAGTCTTCCTTAGGTGCAGACCGTCTGGTTTGCACTGGTCCCAACTCTCCCAGAACCGATTCCAATGTTGCAGGAATTTGAATCCCTCCGTCTTGCACCATCCCTTGAGCCGCGTATTCATTTTAGCTATCTTGCCATTCCTACTCTGACTAGCATGTGGCACTGGTAGCAATCCCGAGATTACTACTTTTGAGGTCCTACTTTTTAGTTTAACTCCTAACTCCCTAAATTCAGCTTGTAGGACCTCATCCCATTTTGTTTAACCTCTATCGTTAGTGCCTATGTGCAACCCAACAGATGCCTGTTCATCCTCCTCCTCCAGAATGTTCGACAGATACTCTGAGACATCCTTGATCCTTGCACCTTGGAGGCAACATATTTTGGAGGGAGATGACCATAGGGCATCCCTACACTACCTTCCTACTCTTCCTCTGTCTGGTGGATCATCAGTACTTCAAAGGACTGGTAGCCCTTTCTATTAATGAATGGATTTATATTGCAGATAGGGACTTTCATCACATAAATTTTAAAGCTGAGCCACCTAAAATGTTAACCTTCTTTCTCTTTTCATATATGCTGCCAGATATGTTGTGCATTTCCAACATTTTCTTTGTTTCAGATTTCCACCAATTCAGAATTTTGATTTGCTACTATATTAACATTATTATACAGTCATTATAACATAATGTATACTCTAATTCTCTCTGCCCTTGCAGATATACTAGCATTAGAAATAAAAACATAAAACATAGGAACAAAGGTAGGGCATTCAGCCCATCAAGTCCACTCTACCATCCAATGAGATCATGATGGATCAGATGATCAGAGTTAATGTTTCTGGTCCAGTAACCCTTCCTCAGAAAGGTCTCTGAATTCTAAACTCCACTTTCCTGCCTTATTCCTATAACCCTTGATTCCCTTGATGATTAGAAATCTGTCTATCTCAGCCTTAGTGATCCAGTCTCGACAGCCCTGTGCTGAGAAAAGAAATTTCTTCTCATTTCTGTCTAAAATAGGTGACTTCTTATGCTCATATTATATCCTTTGGTCTTACATTCTCCCACAAATGAGACAAGCTTTCCATATCTGCCCTGTCAGATACTCTCTGCCCTCTAAGAATCTTATATGTTTTAATAAGGTCCTCTCTCATTCTTCTAAACGCCAGTGAGTATAAGACGAACCTATTTATCTTCTCCATTTAAATTTCTCACCATACCCAGGAAATCATTCTTGATAACCTTTTCTGGACTGCATCCAATTCTGGTATATCTTTCCACAGATAAGGGTAACAAAACTGTTCACTCTCTTCCAGGTACAGTCCAACTTGTCCCTTGTATAGTTTTAGCAAGACCTCCCTATCTTTACACTCCACTCCCTTTGGAATAAAATTCAAAATACCATTTGCCTTCCCTATTGCATGCTGAATTTGAATGGTACCTTTCTGTTATTCATGCATCAGGACCCCCAAATCCCTATCTGATGTAACAAAAACACAAATCACTGGACAAGGTCAGCAGGTCTGGCAGCACCTGTGGAGAGAAATCAGCATTAACATTTTGGGTGCAGTAACCCTTCTTCAGAACTTCCCTTTCTGTTGTAGGTTTATGCAGACTTTCTCTATTAAAATAATATTCAATTGTTTTATTCTTCCTGTCAATGCATAACCTCACATTTCCCCACATTATATTCCATCTGCTAGGTTTTGCCCATTCACTTAACCTGTCTATATTCGTCTGCATTTCTCATCGTTTTATGGAAACACAAACAGAGTAGGCCATTTGGCCCCTTAAGACTGCTTCGCCATTTAATAGTACATTGCTGATCCAACATTCCTCACATCCACATTTCTGTGTTTTGCCCATAACCCTTGATTCCCCTACGGATCAAGTATTTGCCTCAGCCTTAATACAAAGTGTCCTTGTATCTACTTGCCTTTCATTTATTTTTGTGTCATCAGCAAACTTGGTGATAGCACATTCACTTCCAAGGCAATACATATTGTGGCCCCAGCTTTGATCCCTGTGGCACTCCACGAATGTGTCTTATGACTCCATGATTGACTGTGAGTTAAAATTCATAGCATGAATAACTGACAGCTTAATTCCATAGGTTCATGATAGGAGTATTTGTAAAATGCAAGTGCACTTGGGTATCAATCTTCCTTCATTTGGCACATTGGCCAATCCTAAAACTTCATTAGAATTTATTTCTGAATGTTAGAACATTTTATTTTACTTAATTTCAATGTGTATTTAATTAGCTATTACGTTCCTATGCCAAAGTGCAGCAATCCTTAGCATTAAATATGGTGACTTGTCATTGCTATCATTGACAAAAGTTGGTACTAAACATGGGCTGATGTAACGAATGATTTAAAAACAAGTCTGACAGTCAACAGCAAGCAATTCACACCAGTCTCTCATTAGATTTGCTGCAGGCAGTGGGCTTTACACAATGAGTTATAATCATTTGAAAGTATCATTGCAACACTCTTTATGAGGGACCTTGACCTGCATGAATGAGGCAAACCATATGTGTCTCCTTAATCAGATTGAAGAATCCTTAGCAAAACGTGATGGTCAGGATTATCAGCTCCCACTGGTTGTAGCAGTTAAAAGACAGTTTCCCCCATGTGCAGGTTCCCTCACTCCATCCCATCTCCAGGTAATTATTTTGTGAAGTCAGAATTATGGTGGTAAATAATTGTTTGATGTAGCAGATGATAGTGCTCATTAAGAGTCATTTAAGGCCAATTAAAAGAGACCGACTAGGATATTTCAGTTGGTCTGCAGGTTCCCTCAAGCTACAGGGGTCAGTTTAGGAGCCTGGAGGTGCCTACCTGGTGGCAGGCCAGGGAGGAATGCTCCATGCAGGTCTTGAGGCTTTCTCTGCCTGACTGAATAGGTAGGAGCAATCATAGACACTCTCAGTCATGTCCCATCCAGCAAATTTAGATTTTTAAAAATTTGGTGAGAGAGAATGCCTCTTGGAGCACTCTCACCAATACAGCCTGCTGATCCATTCAAGATGGAAAGCTGCATTCAGACCTCCAACTTCAGAAGCCTGCTTGCCATTCTTAGTTGGTAAACCAGTTCCAGACCAATTAAAGTGGTGCTGCTGTGAAATCAAAATCAATCACACTGTGCACTCGTATCACAGTTTCAAGACTGGAAACTGTCCTGTCCACTGTATCTCACCCCTGGAAAGCATGTCCACAAAGTCTAAATCAGCAGGTGTAAGTTAATATGTTCAATGCTAAATTGTGTGACAAAGGCTGACAAAGCAAGTAAGGAATTAATGAAGAAAGAGATAAAGAAAAGTTTGAAAAATAGGATTTTAATTGCTGCTAAATTTGTTTGAAAAAGCTAAGAAGTGACTCCACACCTTTAAAAAGAATTCCAGTGCCAAAAAGGTTGTTCGGTGCTAATTAAGACTTAGGTCACTCTGTTTAAGACTTAACTATTTTCAGTGTTTAGTGAGTACCTAATTGGTAAATACAACAGCTATATGTACTTTTATTTGAATGCCGAATCTTAGTAAGACACAGTTAAAGGAAAGCTTCTAGAAGAGCAGGACAAGTTGGACAGCAGCTTCCTGACTTTTCATGTATAAGTATGTGTGCAAATGTCTGAAGCTGTTGTCCTATTTCCTTAAAAGTGAGGAAAATCTATTGCCTCACCATTATTTCTGTGGCAAATACTCTGTCATATTATTGTTGAGAGCATTCAAGCTTAATTGTGAGCATCCTGCAAAGGTGTAAATTCCGCTTTATTTGTTATTAAGGTTGTGGTATCACTTGGAAGCTTATCTGAGAAGGCAAAATAGCAATGAACTTTGCAATTGTGTCAACCAAAATGCAAGAGGTTTGTGTCAATGTAGAATTCTAGTCTCTGAAAAATTGGGTGAACCTGTTGTATTTTTGTATACTAAGTTTTCACAGCTACTTTCCTTAATAGTAACGCACAATTTGCCAACTTTATTTTGTTAAAGTCCAAATAGAACAATAGGCCAAGAATATTAGCACATTTAGGAAGATAGGAAATTTGAACTGTCACGAGTGGGAGTGGGAGGTCTAAAGAATTGGACCTGTTGCTGTTAGTAAAGCGAGAGTGAGTGAAATAGTTAGATAAAACAACGTTCTGTGTGATCTCTCTATTTTTTTTCACTGCCTTCCAACTTTGTTTTTCTTCCAGCAGTTCTACAAGTAAATAAACGATACAAACTACTATTATATGTAACCATTGTTTAAAAAATTTGCAGACTATTTCAAGTGGATATGCACAACGGGAAACCAAGTGGAGTGATGTCCCAACCTTTAGAAGCAAGCAAGATCTTAAAGGACAGGAACGACCAATAGAAAGACGTCATTCTGGTCAGGGAGATGGCACAAAGAAGGGTAATTGGATCATTTATATTTCTGGATAGTACAACTGTGAAGAGATCTGTACCGATATAATGTTAAGGAACATCTGCAATAAACTGAATTATCTGCATTCAAGTAGAGCAGATCCCTGTTGAAATGGAAGAACATAAGGAACATTCCCTCAAATCTTCCAATATGGGAAGAGGCCTTTACCATTTCTGATGTGCCTTGGGACTTTGAGGAAATCCCAACATAGGCACATCTGTGGTACCTGTGTGAAAAGTATAAACTTTCAGTTACAGGATTTACTCTCCCCAGATTGCTCTGTGACTGACTAGAGCTATATGGATATGGGCTGTTTGCCCTATACTTAATTTTTTTTTACATGGACGTTTACTTTGGGTTTTCATAGCTGCTCAAATCCTAATGATCAGCTTAACTCCATGACCTCCAGCAACACTCAGTCCCCACATGACTATGTTCATCACCCTGATCACATAGGCAGTGCTCACTACCTAGCCCTCATGAACCCCAGATAGTGCCACATCCTCATGACCTGTGTACTGCCTCCCCAACCAGTTTCTAGACCACAAAGTGCTCACTCAATCCCACATGCATCCTAGACTCAGTTTCCATAATGCATGGCTCCTGCCCAGCTGGTATCAGAATAGGCAGAGTTGTTGGTGGGGTTTTTTTGGGGTTTGGGGAGGAAGAGTTGAAGGGGTGGGGGTTAGAGGGATGGGAGGTCAGAGAGGTTGAGCATCTTCATGAGTTTTGGAGGCAGTGATTACTATGGATGGTTGGGTGAGACCGCAGTGTTAGGTGGATTGATCACTGTCAAAAGGTGAGGTGTGGGTATTCTGTCACTAAACCAAGAAATATCAGCCATGGGATATTGAATACTAACACAGCCTTGGATCATTTTAATGGTGATAATGCAGCATCTATTACCGCTTTCATACAAAGACTTCATGGTTTGATTTCTCCTGTATCCTGCACCGCAAGGGACCAGTTGGATTTTAGGTACACTCCTCCAAAGGAGCCGTTTTGGGAAATGTTGGTGAGAAATGCAGAGCTCGAACCTAATGCAAAAAAGAAGAGTGGAATGGCAATATAATGGGCGATTTCCATTCCTCAGAAGATTTGGTGCCACTGTTAATGATCTTCGTACCATCCATGTCATCCTTTACTGTCTGAATATCGTCTTATTCTTTTCATAACTCAGCCCTTTTACTTATAGTTTAAATTAGATATAGATTAAATTAGATGAAGTTTAATTAACTGAATTTTGTTAAATCATTTACTCTAGAATAAGTGAATGCTTAATGCACTCTTCTCAGTAAGTAGAAAAGTAACCTGCTCCTGAACCAATCATTTATTTGTATATGAAGATGTTAAATGTTATATAATTGGAACAAGTGATATAACAGGACTTTTCATTTTTTGCTTCTTTTAAAGGAGATATAATCAACTCAATTAGACTTTTAATATTTAGATAAAATAGCAGTGACTTGAACTGTATTTGACAAGTCTTAATTTATTTATTAATCACCAATGAAATTACTTAATGACAAAGCAACAGTACTGATGGAGGCTTTCTGGAAAGATGGTCATTAGCAGCAACTTAATTTGGAGCTTGCATCAGGACTGTATGCACGCATCATCCTGATGAAGCTTACTCAGTGGGTATTGCCTGGGAAGTTGAAATTTCCTTGGAAACTACCAAACCTCCACTAAACACCCAGGACTACAGATGCTGATAATCCCAGAGGTGATCCACCATGCTCGCTCACCCTTCCTTCAGCCAATTCAGACCTGACACCCTGCCCAATGGGGTGTGTTTGGCATTGTGCACCTGCCACCCTATCCAACCTAACCCCTGTCATACCTGCCACCCTACTCCTTTCATTCATCTCATTTTACCACCTCTTTCAACTGCTACCCTAAGCCTAATGCCCCTCTGCTCATCGGAGACCGCTTGATCAATGGCTGGTTTGGAGGCTTAGGTTCGTTCCTGGTACCATTCACTATTCCAAGTCAAGGCAAAGTCCAATGACATGGAACGAATCACTCTCGCTCATGCAGTGTAACAAACAGCCAGCGCAAAGGAAACCAGTACAGCAGACAAAACTACTATCTAATACGGAAAACACAGCGACAGAGAAACAAGCTGCTGGTGCCGTCTTTGGCCTGTCAGGGAATGTTCACATTTAAAGGTCATGTCGAATATCATTGTTAACTTCAGCCCTTCCTATTCTTATTGGCATCCACAGTATGCACCACAAGCCTTAATCAGCCCCATTAAAACATATGAAAATGTGTCCTGCACTTGCATTAGGACCATTCCATGAAATTGGGCTACCACAGCACCTGACTCACTGTATGAGAAATTCATTCAGCAATTTATGACACTAACAGATATCAAGGAACCTTGAATCAGAGATAGTAGGAACTGCAGATGCCGGAGAACCCGAGACAACAAGGTGCAGAGCTGGATGAACGAAGGGTCTAGGCCCGAAATGTCAGCCTTTCTGCTCCTATGATGCTGCTTGGCCTGCTGTGTTCATCCAGCTCTGCACCTTGTTGTCAAGGAACCTTCACCTGTGCCATTTAAAGGGCCTTCTTTATATCGAGGTTAGTTGCTGGTTTGTTTTTTTTTTAGGCTCCTGTTTTGTATTTTTGGGTTTTTTTAAAAAATCCATTCCCATAACTAATTTCTGATCCAGAGGTAAAAAAATTGTCATTGCGCCTTTGCTTCCTGCTGCGTGTTTGAGTAAGGGTCCTTTAGGTGTTGGAAGATGAAAATGATCAAACCAAAAATAATGGGAGCAGGAATAACTTGAGTGAGGGAGGAGACAGGCCCTGTGCAAGACGCCACATGGCAGCGTTTCTTGAGGAGCGCTTCTCTTTCCTGAATTACGCTGAAAGATTAATGTATCAGGCCATCAATGAGCTAGTCATCTGCTTATTTCAGTATTTTAATTTCACTTCTTCCTTTGTACAATTTGCACCATTATAAGCAACATTATTTTCATTATCACAGTTATCATTATTATTATTTCTCCATTCCCACCTTTTGAAAATCTAAATCTCAGGTTGAAATAGTCTGGAGCTCCGACCGGACATCTTGATTTGGTTGGTTTGAATTCAACACTGAGGCTAATGGTGTTGTTGCATGTCTGGAATAGTTCCACTATTCTGAACACTGTCTGATGTAGAAAAAGTACTGCCATCCCATATTCATTAAATTTTAATTCTCTCACTTCTTGGCTTGAGTACAAACTATTTCAAATGTCTTCATATTTTGATGATTTATAGCATCACTTGCTGCAGGACCTGCTTACCATAAGCATATGAACTTGTTCAGTTTTAGACTAGCTGTTTTGATTTTAAAGTGATTCTGTAACTCAGTTGTTTTCTCCAAGATACCCAGTGCTGAGTTTTGTTTGGTCAATCTCTAATGTTGAATCTTTTTGGAAACATTGTTTCTCCTTCCATTTCTTTATGCGGTGAGTCTTAAATTTTTTTGGCTATGTCCGAGTTGCGTAAAGCTTTTTGGAAGGTTTTCACTGCGAGGTCTAGCAACTTCTCTCCCCTGTATCACACTGTACCAAACTCACTGAATTAATAACCTACCTTGCTCTAATGGCATCTCAAATCTGATTCCATCCCCATCTTGCTATGTGCTATTCCTAGAACAATTTGCCACTCATGGTCATCCCATTTTTCACTCATGCTGTTTTTAAAAGCCCATTTTACACCTGGATAAGCACTACAGTCTGACGCTGCCCTGTATGGTCCCTGATATTTGCCCTGGACATGGAGATGTGGAAATTGGCACTCTGAAGTTCCTGCTGGATGAATTGTGCAGAGGAGGATGGGTGTTCTCCTCTCTCAGGACCATGAGTGGAGGTTACAATACCTGACCTTGCCAGCCTGATCTGAGGTTTCCATCTGGGTTAAAACAGTCAGAATAATCTTAGCAATCTGGAGTACTATAGAATGAAGGCCAATGACCTTGACTCCATCAGCATAAGTGCAACCTCACACTTGAGAGCTCGCATTCATTCTATCTCTGCAATTGTACCCACTCCCACCAAAGCTCTACCTCTGATTAATGCTTGCACCATGTTCCATCACTTGCTGTCATGCATGCAAACCCCCAACATCACTAACTGTGCATGTCCTCAGCACTGTGTAATCACTCACTCAGAGTACCTCCGCACCTGCACCAAAATTAACAGCTGTGCCTCTCATTTTGATTTAAATACCCTCCTCTTTCATTCTAGCCCACAAAAAGGTAGAGTCTAGGAAGTTGATAAGATGCCTCTTATTCAGCTCTTTGCCCCCTATGTGGAGCGCAGACTGACTCTGAATAGCCCAAATAGCTGATGGACTGTTCTGAGCCCTTGGACTGGTATCAGAGGCTGCCTTTGACTTTACTGTGCTAGGACCACATAAGCGCAGGCTTTCCCCTTGACTTGACTGAAGCCTGCTGACAGCCTAGACTATCTTTCTTTCATTGTGCTTGCAGTAAACAACCATGCAAAATTGAAGTAATGACCCTTATATATCTGGCTGAAAGACCAACATGCAAAAAGGCAAGTCAGGGATTCTGTGAGCATCTGAATGAGCTGAGTGGGTGTGCATTGTAACAGTGAACAGAGAGCACAGAGATGCAGCTTGATCAAGTCCATGAGCTTGGTGTGCACCTGCGCACTGAATCCTTGCTGCAGTGTTACACTGATAGTTGTTGTTACAGCATTTATGTGCAGAAGCATACTTGGATTGGAGATGTGCTATGAGGATTGTTAGAGGCTGGCAATGATAATGGATGTGGGGTGTGTGTGACCGATGCCCATGGTGCATGCCTGAGATGTTGGTGACCAGTGTCCCACAGGGTTACTTGGAACAAGTGGTAAGCTGAATTCATCAGGTACCCACTATAACTTTCTTATCACATTTTCTCACCATCTAATTTGTTTGGTGAGTTTGGTAAGATAGAAAGCTGAAAAGTAATGAAGTGAGTTAGG